GGCACGCTTTGTGCACTCGTAATCTATAGCAACTCCCCTGGAGAAAGTCGTCCAAAAACGCAGAGCACTTCACTTACGATCAAAATACCCTTCTAGATGGGCTGCGAACTGGCCTCCGGTCTCTCTATTCTGTGGTTTGCAGGAGCGAAACTTTTCCCTGTAATCCTCGGCTGTAAATCGGAACCGCTGAAGTGGGGCACGCTTTGTGCACTTGTAATCTATAGCAACTCCCCTGGAGAAAGTCGTCCAAAAACGCAGAGTACTTCACTTACGATCAAAATACCCTTCTAGATGGGCTGCGAACTGGCCTCCGGTCTCTCTATTCTGTGGTTTGCAGGAGCGAAACTTTTCCCTGTAATCCTCGGCTGTAAATCGGAACCGCTGAAGTGGGGCACGCTTTGTGCACTTGTAATCTATAGCAACTCCCCTGGAGAAAGTCGTCCAAAAACGCAGAGTACTTCACTTACGATCAAAATACCCTTCTAAATGGGCTGCGAACTGGCCTCCGGTCTCTCTATTCTGTGGTTTGCAGGAGCGAAACTTTTCCCTGTAATCCTCGGCTGTAAATTGGAACCGCTGAAGTGGGGCACGCTTTGTGCACTTGTAATCTATAGCAACTCCCCTGGAGAAAGTCGTCCAAAAACGCAGAGTACTTCACTTACGATCAAAATACCCTTCTAGATGGGCTGCGAACTGGCCTCCGGTCTCTCTATTCTGTGGTTTGCAGGAGCGAAACTTTTCCCTGTAATCCTCGGCTGTAAATCGGAACCGCTGAAGTGGGGCACGCTTTGTGCACTTGTAATCTATAGCAACTCCCCTGGAGAAAGTCGTCCAAAAACGCAGAGTACTTCACTTACGATCAAAATACCCTTCTAGATGGGCTGCGAACTGGCCTCCGGTCTCTCTATTCTGTGGTTTGCAGGAGCGAAACTTTTCCCTGTAATCCTCGGCTGTAAATCGGAACCGCTGAAGTGGGGCACGCTTTGTGCACTTGTAATCTATAGCAACTCCCCTGGAGAAAGTCGTCCAAAAACGCAGAGTACTTCACTTACGATCAAAATACCCTTCTAGATGGGCTGCGAACTGGCCTCCGGTCTCTCTATTCTGTGGTTTGCAGGATCGAAACTTTTCCCTGTAATCCTCGGCTGTAAATCGGAACCGCTGAAGTGGGGCACGCTTTGTGCACTTGTAATCTATAGCAACTCCCCTGGAGAAAGTCGTCCAAAAACGCAGAGTACTTCACTTACGATCAAAATACCCTTCTAGATGGGCTGCGAACTGGCCTCCGGTCTCTCTATTCTGTGGTTTGCAGGAGCGAAACTTTTCCCTGTAATCCTCGGCTGTAAATTGGAACCGCTGAAGTGGGGCACGCTTTGTGCACTTGTAATCTATAGCAACTCCCCTGGAGAAAGTCGTCCAAAAACGCAGAGTACTTCACTTACGATCAAAATACCCTTCTAGATGGGCTGCGAACTGGCCTCCGGTCTCTCTATTCTGTGGTTTGCAGGAGCGAAACTTTTCCCTGTAATCCTCGGCTGTAAATCGGAACCGCTGAAGTGGGGCACGCTTTGTGCACTTGTAATCTATAGCAACTCCCCTGGAGAAAGTCGTCCAAAAACGCAGAGTACTTCTTTTACGATCAAAATACCCTTCTAGATGGGCTGCGAACTGGCCTCCGGTCTCTCTATTCTGTGGTTTGCAGGAGCGAAACTTTTCCCTGTAATCCTCGGCTGTAAATCGGAACCGCTGAAGTGGGGCACGCTTTGTGCACTTGTAATCTATAGCAACTCCCCTGGAGAAAGTCGTCCAAAAACGCAGAGTACTTCACTTACGATCAAAATACCCTTCTAGATGGGCTGCGAACTGGCCTCCGGTCTCTCTATTCTGTGGTTTGCAGGAGCGAAACTTTTCCCTGTAATCCTCGGCTGTAAATCGGAACCGCTGAAGTGGGGCACGCTTTGTGCACTTGTAATCTATAGCAACTCCCCTGGAGAAAGTCGTCCAAAAACGCAGAGTACTTCACTTACGATCAAAATACCCTTCTAGATGGGCTGCGAACTGGCCTCCGGTCTCTCTATTCTGTGGTTTGCAGGAGCGAAACTTTTCCCTGTAATCCTCGGCTGTAAATCGGAACCGCTGAAGTGGGGCATGCTTTGTGCACTTGTAATCTATAGCAACTCCCCTGGAGAAAGTCGTCCAAAAACGCAGAGTACTTCACTTACGATCAAAATACCCTTCTAGATGGGCTGCGAACTGGCCTCCGGTCTCTCTATTCTGTGGTTTGCAGGAGCGAAACTTTTCCCTGTAATCCTCGGCTGTAAATCGGAACCGCTGAAGGGGGGCACGCTTTGTGCACTCGTAATCTATAGCAACTCCCCTGGAGAAAGTCGTCCAAAAACGCAGAGTACTTCACTTACGATCAAAATACCCTTCTAGATGGGCTGCGAACTGGCCTCCGGTCTCTCTATTCTGTGGTTTGCAGGAGCGAAACTTTTCCCTGTAATCCTCGGCTGTAAATCGGAACCGCTGAAGGGGGGCACGCTTTGTGCACTCGTAATCTATAGCAACTCCCCTGGAGAAAGTCGTCCAAAAACGCAGAGTACTTCACTTACGATCAAAATACCCTTCTAGATGGGCTGCGAACTGGCCTCCGGTCTCTCTATTCTGTGGTTTGCAGGAGCGAAACTTTTCCCTGTAATCCTCGGCTGTAAATCGGAACCGCTGAAGGGGGGCACGCTTTGTGCACTCGTAATCTATAGCAACTCCCCTGGAGAAAGTCGTCCAAAAACGCAGAGTACTTCACTTACGATCAAAATACCCTTCTAGATGGGCTGCGAACTGGCCTCCGGTCTCTCTATTCTGTGGTTTGCAGGAGCGAAACTTTTCCCTGTAATCCTCGGCTGTAAATTGGAACCGCTGAAGGGGGGCACGCTTTGTGCACTCGTAATCTATAGCAACTCCCCTGGAGAAAGTCGTCCAAAAACGCAGAGTACTTCACTTACGATCAAAATACCCTTCTAGATGGGCTGCGAACTGGCCTCCGGTCTCTCTATTCTGTGGTTTGCAGGAGCGAAACTTTTCCCTGTAATCCTCGGCTGTAAATCGGAACCGCTGAAGGGGGGCACGCTTTGTGCACTCGTAATCTATAGCAACTCCCCTGGCGAAAGTCGTCCAAAAACGCAGAGTACTTCACTTACGATCAAAATACCCTTCTAGATGGGCTGCGAACTGGCCTCCGGTCTCTCTATTCTGTGGTTTGCAGGAGCGAAACTTTTCCCTGTAATCCTCGGCTGTAAATCGGAACCGCTGAAGGGGGGCACGCTTTGTGCACTCGTAATCTATAGCAACTCCCCTGGAGAAAGTCGTCCAAAAACGCAGAGTACTTCACTTACGATCAAAATACCCTTCTAGATGGGCTGCGAACTGGCCTCCGGTCTCTCTATTCTGTGGTTTGCAGGAGCGAAACTTTTCCCTGTAATCCTCGGCTGTAAATCGGAACCGCTGAAGTGGGGCACGCTTTGTGCACTCGTAATCTATAGCAACTCCCCTGGCGAAAGTCGTCCAAAAACGCAGAGTACTTCACTTACGATCAAAATACCCTTCTAGATGGGCTGCGAACTGGCCTCCGGTCTCTCTATTCTGTGGTTTGCAGGAGCGAAACTTTTCCCTGTAATCCTCGGCTGTAAATCGGAACCGCTGAAGGGGGGCACGCTTTGTGCACTCGTAATCTATAGCAACTCCCCTGGAGAAAGTCGTCCAAAAACGCAGAGTACTTCACTTACGATCAAAATACCCTTCTAGATGGGCTGCGAACTGGCCTCCGGTCTCTCTATTCTGTGGTTTGCAGGAGCGAAACTTTTCCCTGTAATCCTCGGCTGTAAATCGGAACCGCTGAAGGGGGGCACGCTTTGTGCACTCGTAATCTATAGCAACTCCCCTGGCGAAAGTCGTCCAAAAACGCAGAGTACTTCACTTACGATCAAAATACCCTTCTAGATGGGCTGCGAACTGGCCTCCGGTCTCTCTATTCTGTGGTTTGCAGGAGCGAAACTTTTCCCTGTAATCCTCGGCTGTAAATCGGAACCGCTGAAGGGGGGCACGCTTTGTGCACTCGTAATCTATAGCAACTCCCCTGGAGAAAGTCGTCCAAAAACGCAGAGTACTTCACTTACGATCAAAATACCCTTCTAGATGGGCTGCGAACTGGCCTCCGGTCTCTCTATTCTGTGGTTTGCAGGAGCGAAACTTTTCCCTGTAATCCTCGGCTGTAAATTGGAACCGCTGAAGGGGGGCACGCTTTGTGCACTCGTAATCTATAGCAACTCCCCTGGAGAAAGTCGTCCAAAAACGCAGAGTACTTCACTTACGATCAAAATACCCTTCTAGATGGGCTGCGAACTGGCCTCCGGTCTCTCTATTCTGTGGTTTGCAGGAGCGAAACTTTTCCCTGTAATCCTCGGCTGTAAATCGGAACCGCTGAAGGGGGGCACGCTTTGTGCACTCGTAATCTATAGCAACTCCCCTGGCGAAAGTCGTCCAAAAACGCAGAGTACTTCACTTACGAGGCACATGCTGAGAGCCCATTTCTCCTGTGGCCAATCCTGACCGACGGCTATGCGCTCAAACCTATGTAGGTAAACATCTAGATCGTCCCGTTTTTCATCAAAAAGTGGGATGAGCTTGTCCGGCCACCTCTTCGTCTTCTCTTTCTTGTTGTCTCGTGCTTCTTTTCTTTCTGATCCCGTCTGCTTTTTTGCACCTCGTTGAGATGTCCGATCACAGTTCACCACGGGGGTCCATATTAACGAGGCACGACTGTACGTCTATGAGCATTAGACTTTTTCCCATTCTCGGTGTCCGAGTCACGAATGCGTCGTCACCGTCTGTAGAGCCCCGAGATAGAAGGTCTGGAATGCATGTGTCATAACCGGTGGAGCGACATCTCGTTTGAATTTGGGCGTCTGGAGGCCTTGCAAAGTCGTTCCTGAGCACAGGCACAGGTACCTGTGGCTGGCCTCGGTGGTAGGCTTCTACTCGCTGCCGGGCTTCTGCCGCCTGCGTCCCCAGCCCCGGTCGGCCAGCCTGACCCAGGTCATCGGCAACTGCGCCGTGCTGCTCCTGCTCAGCTCCGCCCTGCCGGTCATCTCTAGGACCCTGGGTGGGTGGCGTCCCCTCGGGACGCAATGCTGCTAAACAGCACCAGCCTCTGGTGCCTTGGGGGGGATGGCTGCTAGCCCACACTCGGTCACCCTAAGGCCCCCGAGGCGTCTGCTGCATGGCCTTGTACGGGAAAGTAACAACCTCCCAGAGAGGCGACGCGGAAACCGTAAATTCCAGGGCCTTGGCAGAACACATCAGTACCATGCTGGTCTTGGAGAAGAATTGGAGGGCTCTTGGTTGAGGTTGATGGAGCACACATAAGGGAACTGCTCTTCTGCCTACCAACCATAAGAATGCGTGACGTTGTCCTCATCCATCCGTATGGGCATAGAAGCGTCCTTACCGGCTTACAGGCATGGACCAGTTGCGACCATTTAATAAACGGGTAGGTTTGGCATTTTCGTCCAATGTCTCCCCCAGGCACTACATTCAAATGTAACGAGTTTATTTCCTCAACATTGCGAAATGCTGTTAATTAGTACTCTGTCAGGGTGGTAGTTAATGAAATTTCATAATTGACCTACGTAGGTTCAACTATCAAAATATCTCTTGAGCACTTAATTTTTTTAAAGAAAACAGGCCGAGACATGACTATTTCGTTTATAGATTCTCTTCATCATTATGGGACACCAATCCTGTTGCAAAGTTCACAAAGTTCCACAAAAATCAAATCACATTGCTAAATGCCGCATCTCACTAGAGGAACAAACAGCAACAAACGACGCCGAAACACGACAACGAGCAACAGACGGCACTGATAGACAGCCTGTTTGTCAGAGTCCACTGTCCCACCTGGCGGGTGCGACGCAGAACACATGGAAATTTGTTTTCTTGCAGGACTGAAGTTGTCAACAAAACACTTAAGGGGAGACACCCCCTAGGGGGGTCAACTTTTGAACCCTTGTCTTAAAATTAATGAAATGTACAGGGTAGGCTGACGGTCATGCTAGAGGGTGTATAACGAAATTTCAGGTCTGTTGGTTAAATGAGAAGGAAATTAGAGTAGCTTCTATCAGCAACACGCCTACACTGTTTAGTTAATCTATCATCAGAAAACTATCACGATATTAAAAATTTTATTTGCTAGATATGTAGCAGAATGCCTAGAGGGTGCGGCTATGGAACGTTTTTTCTAGAAAGTAATTCATTTCTACAAATTTTCTCTTCTGCAAAATTGGTCAACTTTTTGGTCTTCTGTCTCTTCGACAAAATTTCAACATTTTTTACAAAAGACATCCGTAAAGTGACAAAAAGTTCCATAGCCGCATTCCTTATTAAATTCCAGTCAGGAAAAGGGAAGAATGAGCCTTTTCTGTTTTGCCATTATCAAACGATAGATTGACTAAAATGGAATTTACACCTAAAAGTGGAACGGAGAAAAATGCGTTCAAAGTGCTCCAAACCCTACCTTTTCTTGAGCTTTGGTGGACAGAAAATAATTTATAAAAAATTAACTATGCAGTGAAAATTAATTACAGTTTCTGGGAATACTCTCTAGATGTTGGTGGATGTAAATATGTCATTTTCCAAAATCAACTTTTTTTGCAGAAATTTTTTTTTCTGGGCAGTGTCTCCCCTTAAAGATACACAGACAAAGAGTCGGGCGATGCGGTTTTCGTGTTCTGCTCTTTGGGCAAAAAACACGCCGACAAACCCGGGGCAAGTAGGGACGATTAGTACTTCCTTTCTTAATTAAAGGGACCATGAAATGACTTTTTTACTTTTTCCAGATAACTTTTACATTAAACCGTCAATGTTCACTGAATGCCGAACAGGCATCCGTTTTCGTCTCGGTTTATTAACTTCTACACAAAAAATTAATGAAATATCGACTTTTTCTTGACCGCAAAACAAGCCGTGACGTACGCTATTTCCGGAACCGGAACTTCTCTCGGCAGTAGGAGATGGGAGCATTAGTGGCGACGAGTTGGGGTGCGCCGGTAGGTTTTACTGCGCCGGTAGGTTTTACTGTATTCGCGCTGTTGGTAAGCGCTTCGGGACCGATCTTTTACGATTGCAACTCGATACTGACGCGACACTCGGCAAAGAAAGGTTGGACCGGTATTGCACGTATACCTCTCACGAACTGTTACAGCTCGACAGTGACGTGCAGTCTGTCAGGATAAAAATGGCATACCAATAACAAAGTGTACATACCGTGTTACGAAGGTAATCCATACAGCGTTTATTTTAGCTCTATATCACACAAAACAAGAAGAGAGAATCGACGAGGGTCCTTTTTCGACGAGTGTTCGTCAACATTGCCTCGGAAAACAAGGGGAAGAGATTGACCTCACCTCTTAACGTAAAATTGAGGTCAGCGATCAAACTATTATACGGGAAGGGTCCACAAGGGTACCCCACAAGGGTAGCGCGGGCATATTCCATTCAGCACGCCAGCCGGTCGCAGGCAGACAGACGGTCTTGCGACGAAGCAACGCTGCGCCGAGTCGGAGTGCCTGCTAGGCCTATATTCTGAGAGCTTCGTCGGAGCGCGATTCGCGGCTGCTGTCCCTCATTTCGGGTGTTTGTGGATCCAGCGTTCTTGTTCGTCGTGGTCTGTTTTAAGTACATTTTTTTCTTGCTGCTTGAAGTCAGCACGCGCGAGATGAACACGTAGAAAAATAAACGTTCAGTCAGTCAGAGTTTTGAGAGGAAGGCCCTGCCAGCCGGCAGTCGGCCCTGCCAGCCCTGCCCTACTGCGCACGCGCAGTAGTTGCTTCGTTTACCACACGATAGATGGCGCTTGGCTCTCAGCATTACCAAATTTGGCAATTTTCGCCACACATCTCTAATTATGCTACAAAATGTGGGTCTGAATATTATTTAACAAAACTTTTAGGAAACATTCGCCGGCTATTTATTGTTTACGATCGCGGTGCTGGTGAGGTAGGCTCTTACCCAATAGGCGACGTGGATTCGGCTGACGTGCTCCATTTCTGCGGATGCATCGTAGTGAAAAGGCAGAGCTTTCGAAGGAAAGAAGTCGCAAAAGAGTCCAGTTTTCTTTTAAAAGTTCTATAGCAAATAATTTTTTTGGCTCCCTAGTTTTGTGTTTTTGTGTTTCTTTTCACACCTTTTACGACGTGCGGTGGATGAAATTAGATTTTAAAATCATTTCATGGTCCCTTTAAAGCTTCCACTTAGTCTTGATTTGCCGTTGGCGACTTCCCGCAAACCGTCGTGACTTTCGACACCAAACTTTTTCCAAACTAGAATTCTGTCATCGTTCCTTGTTTGGGTCATCTGAGGCATTTTAACACATCTTGTTCAGTCCTCGAACGTCGGCATATCCATCTTGATGCAGGGACGCAGGCGTATTGAAGCACCACATCGCGCTCCAGGTTTTAGCGAGCAAAACCAGTCGCAGCAAATTCCCTTTCGCAACACGACAGTCAGCGAGCGAGCCACGTCGTCTGCTGCACCAACGCTTTGTCCAACTAGTCGAACCCTGCCATGTTTGCGGCGCAAAATAAGTGAAGCTGGTGACGCTGCAAGACGTGAAAATACCTAAGTTAAGATGCATTACATACTCAAACAAGTGAATAGCTTCGCCTGTCGCAATGCGTTTAGCCGCCACAGGTATCGTTCACAACCCCTGGCTATGCCGCTGGTTCTGATAATTTTCCTTTCGTGCTCCGCATCAGCGGCGTGGTTTAGGTCCAAGAGTGAAATCCTGAACGGCTAGAGACGGGCCATGGTTGTGAACATTGCATTCTGGTGCCGCACAATGCTAAACTCAGACGATACCTGTGGCAGCGTAAACGCATTGCAGCGGGTGCATGCAGCTACTCACTCATTCGAATACGGAGTGCATTGTATTTGTATTTACACAATTGCAAGTCGACTCAATTGTAAGTCAGAAAAAAAAAAAGAACCTTTAGATGTGCATTTTACTGCGAACACGTGAGAAGGGCAAAGTATCTGTTTCAAAAGCCCAGCCTCGAACACACGATCGATGCCTTCTGGCGTGCTTTGGCTGCGCTTGCACGCGCGAGGTGCATGAGATGGCCAGGCGTTATCGAAACTAGGAAGTTCATGCTGCAGGCGGGACAACTGAAGCTGCTCACTGTCGTTCTCACTCCGCCCGCGACTAGACTGCGACTTGTCCGCGCTGGTGATGTCAGTCCCGTCGTCATCACTGCTACGTTTTCGAAGCATGTCGGTGTGGTCCAACGAAATCTCCCACTTTGCAAATGACCGCATCCTCCGCGCTTGCTCGGTGATCGCGTTGTACGTCACGGATAGGGACTGATTGCGCACTTTTGCGGCATACATTGCAAGCCTTTGGCCCGCGGAAGCTTTTTCGTTTGCGATCACAGTTTAAGATCCCGCGCCACTGCAGACTCCACTGGAGCATTACCTGCTCCGACGGGTCGAACTTGCATCCAACAGCGCAGTTGTTGATTTTCAGGGAAAGAATGGCCATAAACGAACACCGAAAACCTAAACTGCCCGGATCACGCTTGTCAAAACAAAACAAAAACGTACCGTATTTACTCGCGTATAGGTCGACCTGTTTTTCAAAAATCGCCTCATCAAAACTGGGGGGTCGACCAATACGCGAATCCCGGTATTATATTTTTCAACTTTTTTTTTTTTTCGGGGGTCCCGAAGTTAGGGGGTCGACCTATACGACGTATCGACCAATATGCGAGTAAATACGGTAGTTAGCACTCCAGCATGATCTCGACACTAGATTGAACGACGTGCGACCTTGAGTCGCGCGAGAAACTGCAAAAAGACGCCACGGGGAGTGAGTCGTGAGACAGTTCCAGCAGCGTCCGGAGTGGCTTTTGCAAGAAGTACCGCCACCCCCGGAAGTCAGGCACGCGGTGCGCTGTTCACCGCCGTACATTCGGGTTAATTTGCGAATCACTATCAATAACACTCGTTCGCGCAAACTAAAAAAAAAAAAATTCGTAAATTGAGTGCGCAGAGTAGCGCAATGCTGCAGGCACAGCTGGCTGAACTCTTAACAAGTGGAGGTGTTCTTGATATCACGATTGTTTGGTTTTTTTGGGGGTGGAATGCTTTGGTTCGATTATAGGTCAGATTTTAAAAAATTAAAAAATGGGTCGACCTACACTTGTGTAAATACGGTACCTGCTCGTCTTGCAGTGTCGCCAAATCCACTTATTTTGCACCGCAACTGTGGCCGGGTTCGACTAGGTTTGACAGAGCGTTGGTGATGCAGACGCCGGTACAAAGGAGAGGGTTGAGGCATCCTCACAAGCCATAGCTCCCGCACTTGTGTCCAGTTCGGCTGCTCAAGTGGTTTTGCCTTGGTAACCTGCTCTCGTATGTCACGTGGGAGGAGAGACGATGGAAACCAAGGGCTCCCAGAATTCGTTGCCTTTTTGGGATTTTTGCAAATTAAGGATGAACGTAATTGGATACATCGCAAGGTGTTTGTAAAATGACCCACAATCAGGCTCGAAACCATTTCATGGTTTTTCAAAGTAGGTCAGTATCACTGTAATTGGCAGTGTTCTAGGAGGATTTTCACAAAATTAAGCAAGAATCATATAAGACACAGCCACACTGAAAACAACCAAATGGAAGCCAACCAATGAGCGCATTGGCACCCTCTCTTTGCCAATCAGGTAACTAGCGAGATGAAAAGGTCTATACGATTAGTGCTTATGCTTTTTGAGCGGTTCTACTTTTTAGCCGCACAAACTCCATACGAAAACAGATTTGGACCATTTGTATTTTGTTGGCAATCAATATTTTGCGTAGAACTGCATCTTCTGTCCGATAATTTTTATCACCGTCGGCCTGTTTTTGTAAATATGGGGGATGTAGCCACCTTGCTCTCGGCCTTGGTGCAGGCATCACCAACTTCGACCTGCTGGGGGACTTTGGGCGCATCGAGTGGCTGGCCAGCTTCCCACTGGTGCTGGCATACAACGTGGTGTTTGCGGTGGCAGCCGCCACCAGTCTGGCCACCAAAATGACGGCGGCCATGCGCCGGGAGCTGCTGGGCCGCCTGGCCGCCTGGGGCAAGGACGACTGACCCCTCGTCGGGCGGCCATGTCGAGCGACGGTAGCTTGTGCCGGACGTCCGAGCGACGGCAGACAGGATGACACCATCTTTTCCCCCCGGGTGGAGAGGATTTGCCACGCAAGGCAGCTTGTGCTCGCCTCACGCTTGGCACAAAGTGCGCGAAGGACGTTCCATACGCCTTTGCTGGCACGGTTTGCTTCCGGGTCTTTTTGCACCGCACCACAATGTCCGAGTCATATTTCTGACATTCCGAGTCCTTGTTATTTGCCTTATTTAAGCACTTTATCTGCCACTTAGGAAAAAGGGCCTTGAAATGGCCTCTAGTTAAGCGATTGTTCGGTGCTTACTCGTTAGTGTACGAAATACCTTGTCGAAGGAAAGTTTTTTTGTTGCATGTATTTTATGCGCCTAGTAAAATGTATTTGTCTAAGCAATTTGAATGTAACAGGAACATCCTCATCTTTGTTTGTGCACGTAACTTTTTTTTTTTTGCAAAGAGTGGAGAAGCATATTGTTACGAGCTTCGGATAAGTTTTCAACTTCTGTTCTTACTCAATTTGGCTGTAAGATACCGTTCAAACTGTCACACAGGAAGCATCCGATACTTTAGACTCCAATATTTTGGTGACCAGCTAGAGAGCAAAGACATATCAACTCTCCTTTTTGTCAAAAAAATATTGCCTCATTGTGCCCATGATCTCGCTCTTCGAGCTTGGGCAATGCAAGTTCACTCGAGACTAGCTCGCCAGCCATACGGCTCTGGCTCTAATGGCTTGCGAGACCAGTCATGGGCAGGCTGGGTCATTGTTTCAAATTTGCAACACGAAAGGTTAGACATTGATCCCATCTTTTTTTTGTTTATTTTTTTGTTCACGAGCAATGTATTCACGTTTTTGGTTTTTCACACTTGCATCCTCAGGAAAAAGAGGATGGAAAACTTCAAAGTGAAAGAAAAGTCATTTGCACCCAGACCGACTTGCCGGGGCTGGTATCTGGCAGTGGTTGAAGCATGGTGCCTTCTTGATCGCTGGAGCAGGTTCTCTGTGGGCCCAACCAGTGTTATCAGTTTAGCAATTTTCCCGCTAAATTTGGCATTGTTTTTTGTCGTTTAGTGGGAGAAACGGCCGTCTTGCGGGCGGCCGGATTTTTAGCGGATTTCAAGTCATGTTGGCATTTTTTTTGGCGGTCCCAAACGTTCACGAATTTACATTTATGGATCCTAAATAACTCGGCGGTAAGTCACAGTCATAGGGTGGTCATTTTTGCGTACTGTCAACAAAATGGTTGTCAGTGAGAGTAACGCTCGCGACACCGTCGAGTTAAAACCTCGAATTTTGCAACTGATTTGTGCGCGAATGAATTAGTTTTCAAGTTTGCCATACGAGACGAGCCCAGTAAGCTACGTGCTGAAATTCAGAAAACGGAATTCTAAGCTCGGAGCCCAGTTACTGGTAGCTTCAAGCGACGTTAGATGAGTCGGCTACCCCGACAGCTTTCTTCAATGCGGGTGGTCGCTGAAGCTTGGAACCAAATGTTCCGCCGAAGATGGGAACGATGGAGGTAGACGTCGTCAGGCTAGACGCCTGCTAAGAGTGTGCAACGCACATTGTTTTATACATGGAACCAATCTGCGTCGAACAAGTTGGCTACCTTCTAAGACTCTTTAGACTAATTATAGCAGCGGCCCGAAATTTAGCAGTTTTTCGAGATTCCCATCGGGGTTTTTTTTTTAAGTTTGCAACACTGCTTCCCCCTGCTCCAGGATGGGTGGCCAGGTAGGGCTGGCTTTTCCTTCAACTCGAGCCCTCTTCTTCCTTTTTTCCGAGTTATTTTCTTAAACGATTAAACACTCGCTTCCCGTCTCTGGGGTTGCCTGCCCTTTCCCCGTCTCGACATCGCCGTGGCAAGCGTTTTGTCGGTCGTTGTGCGTCCACTTAAATTATTGCCCTAAATGTCTTCATGCAGCTCTGCGAGAGACTCAGTTTTCCTATTAGCACGGGGATTATGGGACTCTCTTCAATTGTGGCACGAGCATCTCTTGACACAGTCTAGAAAGAAACATTCCTTGGCCTTTTGGGTCAGGTGCTGTTCAGAGACTGCGTCTAGTAAAGGCGTTTTTGCCGGTAAAATTCACCGACTGGCATCGCCTACTTCGGCAGCCGCATTTCTTTGTTTGTTCTACGGAGATGAAATGAGCAAGGCCGACATCTCGCAGCCAAAGGGGTTGGAGTGCATTCCGAAAGTGAGCAGAAGCGAGATCTTCCTAGCGGGCACCGTTGGGGCAACGAGGCGAGTCGAGAGGCCCACAATGGCGCGAGAGAACCCTCGCCGCCCTTTTCCACGCATTCGGGTGCGTCCACCCACTTGATCAGGCTCGGCAGATTTGCTGCACCCGTTAGGGTGCCCAAAACGAGCTCTTTGGGACGTCGAACCTCTATTGGGCCGTTCGTCTCAATGATGCTGGCCCAGAAGGTGGCACCGATTTGAAGACCACTGCTCTTCTTGGTCCAGTTGGAACCTGGCTTACTGCAGGTGACTTTTAAGATGTGTAAACTGTAGTAATCTTGTTTTAACTTTTCATTTCTCCTGCTGCTGATTTTATCGCTCTCGAGGAACATGCAAAGGAGCACTTTCCTTATTGCTCAGTATTGTGAGAAATCTAGTCCATTGTAAGATGTGATAATTCCTTTTTGTTTTAATGTATCACCACGAGCCACGGAGATTATAGTTGAGCTTTACTGTTTGGGCAAATTTCTGCATTGAGGGAGGACACTACTTGGGAAGGTGAACTTGGAACATCAAATACTGTGCCCCTAATGGGGGCAACGTCACATTAAGTTGAAGGTACTGCAGCTTTTCGTGACAAAAGTCCATGAAAATGCAGAAAGTAAGCCCGCAGCTGCATTTGTTGCAAAATTTCGGTAGAGCTGCTTGGAAAACTGGCTCCACACATCAATTGATTATCAAATGATGGTTTCAATCAAACTCAGATTTTATGCCAAAAAGTGAAACTGAAAAGGAAATGTGTTAGAAAGTTTGGAAAGTTGCACTTTAGAGTGCCGGCACGTCTGAAATAATTTATTCCGGAAAAATACTTTAGTTACAGGAGTAAAAGTTTCTGACACCATCCATGAGGCTATATTGGAAAGCTGATAAAGCTAGTACTTTTTTTTTTTTTAATTTAATTTTAAGGTAGTGTCCTTCCTTAATAGAAAAATTGGGCAGCATAGGTGTGAAACGATCCGAGCGCATAAAGTCGGTGGGTGATAATGCGCGAGTATTGTAAGGCTCATTCTGGGCAATAACCTGACATATGCTCCGATCAAAGCTAGTAAGAGTTGTGGCAACGGAGGATTGCTTTACGGTGACGAGGACGGCTGGTTCACGTGGCGAGCAATCCTCGTACAAAATTGCCGCAACCTTTTCTGAAAACTGGCCCGGGTGGCAGGCTGGAACAGGCTGCCACCGGGACATTCTGGGACAGCATCGAAAGTATGAAAGGTCTTGAAATCTGTCTCGGTTAATCCTCGCTCAATTTTCAAACCAAAACGATCCTTGGCAGTTTCGGATGGTCTAATCTGGGCAGTTTAGGGGGTTTTGAGAACAAAATAGGCACTTCAGCAATATTTTGCGATGCCACGTTACCTGGGGGAGTGACTCTGCGATGCAGATGCCGGTTTGCTCGGAACAAGCCACGGAAGAATCGTTGCGGAGAGAAAAGAGCGTCGACGCGCGCTTTGGAAATGCACGCCTGGGAGCAGTCAGCTTAGAAGGCTTCTTTGGCTCGTTTTGAGTGGGAGCTGTGTTGGCAAGAACAAGAGGCTCCGAGGAGGCTGTCCAATGGGCGGTGCAGCGACTGCGCACTGGTGCACATGAGCCCATGCCTCCTGTGTTATCTAATGAATGCAGTGTTTGCACAGTGTGTTCACTATTAATAAACAACTATTTTTGTATTTCAACGGCATTCTAATGAAGCGTAATAAAGCTTTCTGAAATCCAATGTCCTCCAGTGACTGAATGAAATCCTGAGTTGCAAGCCAGCTGCTGCGTGGCCTCAAGGTTTTCGTTTTGAGGGTTTTTGCAACTCCCTCACCTCACGGTCTGTTTGAGAGACATGAAACCCATCTCTTGCAGTGGGTATTTCACAAAATTCAACGGGCATTTATTGCTGCCAACACTGATGGCACCTTTATTGTATTCGGAGCTGGCCAGTATTGCTTGGAGATACTTTCAACCATCTGTATCGGGATGCATTTGAAAAATGTATTTGTATCTCTGTAGTGAAATATATTTAGTGTCTTGCCTGTATCGCGATACTTTGCCAGACTTGGGTATCCCGTTACATTTGTTGCCGTTTTTACGGTGAATTTAAAAGATAAAAACATCCGCTTGGTACAAGGTGCTTCAGAATTGATAACATGAACCTGCCCTATGATCCATCACAGTCACCGACGTTAAAGAACCGGTTTAAAGAAGGTTACTTGCAAGAATAACAATCAGGTGCTCCCACAGAGCCCTCCACACTATCCAATTTAGCAGAATGAATACTGTAAAAGAGAAAAAAGTATGGCCCTGTTTAGTCCCCCACTATGAGTGACATAGAACCGTACAATCTGACAGTTTTAAATGTGCCCTCTCGGCGAAACGGGCGTAGTTTTGTACAGATGCCTTCCGTCGAGCATGGCCTGCAGTCTTTACCGTTCAGTAACTGAGGTTCACCGGGGGTGACATTGTTTTTAGCGGCATTTTCGATAAATAAGTTTGTGGTAAGGGTAAGTGCATAAAATGACAAAAATGTTTAAAAAAAACATTAGACGGACACTCGAGTGCATTTTAAAACCCTCGTTTTATGGTTGTAACTCGATCTACCAGCGCTAAGCATCCTAAAATACCCGAAATAGCATTCGTGCGCAGCCGATTTGCATATTAGAAAAGTGGTAAAAGTTCCCGACACCGTTGGCGCAGAATGAGATGGCCATACCGAACCTTGCTAAATATGCTCAAACGGCAGACGGTGCTTGTCAGTCACTCGTGAGCGATAGGCTTCCACGCGAGAACCTATCGCTCGCGAGTGGCTGTTAGGCGCCGTCAGAGCCGTATATGGCGCCGTCCGTCGTTCGACCATATTGCCATGCGCCTCGCCGAGCGAGCGAGCGCGTGCATGGCCGAGTGGTTACCGTGCTCGAATTTCGTGCGGAGGCTCCAGGTTCGGTTCCTGGGAGTGACACATTTTTTATTTATACTTTCAATTTAGTGTTTTCGTAAGTCCGAGAACCTTGTCGTCTGTTCAAGATACTAAACGCCGAATATTCGAGAAACCCACGCAGGTACATCAGGGACTCTGCATGGCGAGCTGCAGGCAGTCTCGTCCCAGCGTTCAATCCTGCTGTATCGATGCCTACAATGCTAGCCTTCTATTTTGCTTTGGGCAGAAGTTCGCCCTCATTAAACATTTAGTTCACTTCAGTTCTTGTCGCCTCATCAATTGTCATTCGTGACAATATTCGGAAAGATTCAGTAGCGCCAACGATAAGTGTCGGGAACTTTGATTACTTTTCTAATATGCTAATCTGCCGCGTATGAATATAATTTAACTTTTTAGGATGCAGGGCTCGTAGATTAAGTTACGACAATAAGACGAGGATCTCCAAAAGCACTTTATTGCCCCTTTAATATACAGTAGGAAAATGAACCAATTATAGCCCTGCAATACACCAGAATCTACAGAGGCTAAAGGAGAACTGTTATTAACATTGACAAACTGTAAATGATTAGTTAAAAAAGGGCAACCAATCCAGTAGATGGGGTAATCAAGAGGACGTTGGAAACAAATTAAAATGCATCTTAATCCTACGGATGTAGTCGAACCATTCCGACAAGCTAGTCTGATTGCGGAAATGGCTTCTGCAATTGATAAAAACATTCAGTTGCTTTGGCACAATAAAAATGTCAACGGAAAAAAATGTTACGGAAGGCGATTCCACATTGATGAAGTGCTGGCAAGATAGCTGGGGGACACAGAATGTAGAGCATGCTTTGAGCTTTTCCTACCATTGGGGCAAGGAGCTTTTTATGGCATAGGGCAGACAGCAAGATGTATAGATATCCGAGCTAGAGAACACGGGCTAGCTTTAAGGTCTGGGCCTTTGGGACATCTTGCCATCCACTGTAATAGATATGGTTATTTGCCTCAGTTTGAAAACATTGCTATTTTGGCAAAACATCCTCAGTGAACAGCAAGAGATCTATGAAGCTTATTATATTAGGAAGCATGTTCCAGACAAATATGTCAGTGTAGAGTCGACAATTTCCAGTGGGGTGTGTCAGTTCTAGTGTTTCCACCTGTTTGAGTGCACATATCTGCACTTTGGAGGTGGCCTTGCATAAAATAGTCCTGGTTTTGTCTTTTTATCTTTTATTTTGCTCAGGTGCAGTGAAAAGAAGGAAAAAGAGTCGTAAGTCAGCGCTGTGTCCGAGTCTTTTGCGCTTTCACCTTTTGTTTGTGGCAACACTGTTATACATACCAACCTTAAACCCTACTAACTAAAACTGCACCGCTAACACAGGAGGCATCACAAAAGCTATTTATGAGAACTCGTGAAAAAGACGTTGAACCGGTCGGGCGGATCGGTGAACATCCCTCCTACCTCTTTGCACAGCAATCCCATCCAACTCCGCCTAAATGTGATGCATTAAAAAACAATATGCAAAAGATGACGCCCATAAAGGCTTTCCGAAAGTTTTTTCTTGCTCTGGGTTTTTATTTAGGGTGGGATGGATGGCCCGTGGAGGAAATGCTGGACAGGGAGACACCTACACAGCTGATCAGGTCACGACCAGTTGTGTTACGCTCGCTACATCCGTGTGTGTCACTTTTCTCCTTCACTGAATGGGAATACCAGCCACTCTAAAAGGCTGGCAGCTAGTAATGATGATGGAGCAAACGCCGATCCTGCGTTCATCGTCGGCGTTGCTCTCTGCGTGCACCTTCCCCCGACCAGAGCAAGTTGGAGAATTGACCTCGAGATGTGACTAGGGTTGTGAAGGACATCCCAGCAAAGCACCTTGGTCAAATTCCTGCATACCAGAGATTCGTTGGACTGTACCTCTGGCAGGGGTGGAACGGCTGCGCCATTTGCGCCATTTTGCGCCAGACGCATATGTCTGCGCCATCCTGCGCCATGTTGCAGAAACTGCGCCACAGCCAATACCTCGCGCCATTATGCGCCAGATCGCAAAACGTGCGCCAAGAAACTTTTTATTTTGTCTTGGTTTCGGTTTTATTGACTCGATTCGCAACAATGAGCGCGTTCAGCCTGGTCGGCCTTGCAATCCTTTGTTCTGTTTATTCTCCCTGTGTATCCCGAGTCGGAAGCGCGCGAAAAAACTCGGATTCTAAGCGCCACACCACCTGCGACTGGATTGTTATTCTTCAACCATAAGCGGTTAAGCAAGTCGGCTGAGGTGAGGTCGAGTCGTTAAGCGTCAGATTGCCTGAGGCTCTGCGGCCCGGGATCCGGACGTCAGCCAGTTGAAAACAAATGAGCAAGATTTTCCTTTTAGTACTTCGTCGTTAGAAGTTGGAACCGCATTCTCGCAAGATAAATCGTGATTTGATTGAACTGAAACGCGGTCCGATCCGAAACCTTGCCGGCCAGCAGCTCTTTTGCGAGTGATAGATCTGCTCGGCGTACTTTAACCTTGCTCCTGCTTATCGCTTCAAATGCGATAACTTCGTTAATCGTAGTCTGCTGCTTCGCAATTGAGTTGCACAATAGGATAAACGTGAAATTTGTTGCCCTGTTCCTCCGTGCAACTGCACGTCAATTGCTTGTGCACATCACGGGGTTCGCACATATAATTACTATGTCGAGCACGTGTGGGTTGTGCGATAAGCAGTGCTGGTTTGCATTTTGAGCAGCTGAAAGCCGCTCGGAAAATATCAAGGACGCTATCTTGAGAAACAGGGTACTGGCTTTTTGATTCTCATTAAGGCTCACAAAGTTTCAAGTTTTCGCATCTGTTACGCTGTTATCCCATCTACCTAGGTCCCTAACCATTCATGTTCATCTGTTCTGCTAAGTACGATTGAAATTGCTCCCATGCTTGTCTAAGACGCAAGCTGAAGTGCAATGAAAACTGATCTGAGCTGCTCCTAGCCTGCTCCAGAACGTAGTTTTAGCTGCTCCCAACCTGCTCCATAACAGCTGTTTCAGCTGCTCCCGTGGCTGCTCCCAGGCACATTTCACGAGTTCCACCCCTGCTCTGGGCAACCCACGAAATGCGGGAGAGACCGTGTGAAAGTAGGAGGAGAGGCCACCCCAAAGGGCGGGTTGTCGGTGGCTCCATACAGGGTTTCTTGTCCTCGTATCTTTGGGCTATTTACATTTCTTAAAGGGGGGGTGCAACGATTTCCGGACTTCGGTCAAAGATTTCTGGAAGTTGCCCTCTGACACTTCTGAAGTAAAGTACAGAAAACTGATTTCGCCTGCGTGTCCTAGTTGTTGCGTAAAAAAAATCTAAAAATTGGCATTTCGGGCACCCCTCAATTCACTCCCAGCCTTCAGGGTCACACCTGGTCCCCCTCCTAGTGACGTCATTCGGGCTGCCGTGTAGCTTCCCGTGTGCTATCTCGGAGGACGCTTCCTCCCTCTCTCCGCTGACATTAGCGGGCGTTACGCTGCAGCTTAGAGGTGAGCGAGGTCACGTAAGCTTTTCGTTGTATTTCCTTCGGCGGCCACTTGGGGCTGCAGGTGGGGAAAAAAAGCTAGACTTTAGTTTTGCGATTATGCAGCGGAATCGCAACATTTTTAATGAGGGAGGTGTTTTCTCTATCCTTCGGGACAAGATAAACAACGTAAAAATTATAAGATGCAAATTCTTTTAATCATAAAATCGTTGCACCGCCCCTTTAAAAGCAACTTTACACGCAAGATTTAACTTCATCAAACTTTTGTTCAAAAATTTAAAGTTCAAACTTTCAAATAAGTTTGAAAATCATCTAATTTCTGAGCACAACCAATTTGAAAGTTAAAAAATATACTACCATAATTGGATTTAACAGGTTATAAGATATGAAAATTTTCAAATTTTTTATTGTATGAAAGGTTAAACTTTTTCTAACCCGTTGGTTCCTTCCATCCTCAGGTTGCAAAAAATTGCATCTAATGAAAAGAAATTCTTGTGGTCGATTGGACAAGAGGGAACAAAAGAAAGGTTCATTCCCTTTCATGTTCTCATTAATAAAAATTTTTTTTCAGGAAATTGGACATGGCCACCAATGACCTTCCCAGCCCCAGTGGCCACTCACTAAACACAATATCAATCCGTCACTTTGATTCGAAACAGACATTTTGAGCCATAGAAAAGTTGGCTTTTTATTTGCAACTTCTGGGCAAGTTCTTTTTCATAAATATTTCCACAAAGCAAATGCACCACCTAGCCTCGCTTCCATAGCAAATTACAGTGAATGTTGTCCAATTTCTTTGAGGTGGGTTAGATTTCCCTGGTGGCCTTTCAGCGGAACAGTAGTGATACATTTTGCAAGTCTTCTACAAGGAAAGCCTCAAAAGATTCTTCTATACTTTGCATGCACACTTCTGGGGTCTGTGCTTAAACCTGAATATCTGCAAAGATTTGCTTATATCAAGATTTGATACTGGACATCTGGAAATAAATGTTTGACTGGTAGTCGAGGCAAACAATAAAATGCACAACCGAACCACGAATAAAATGTGCTAGCAAAATTCCCAATTGTCAGTTCAACTTCTGCATTATCCTCAGCTGGAAAGCAAGGTTGACGAACAAGGTGGAAAGCGAGGTGGGTTTGTCAGTTTATTAATTTACGATCACCACAGACAAGGAAGGTACAAAAGTGTTCATCAGCTAGGAACATGCAGGCTATAAAATTAGTTAATTGCCTCTACTTCTGGAAACGCCACAGGTCACAAGAGTGTCGCATAACCAAGGAAAATAGCTACTGCAATGATGGAAAGATTGTAGATCACCACTGTAGATAAGCTATGCACACCACAAAACTGGGACACTCGGGCATTCCAGAGTCCCGCACGTGCGAGATCATCGTGAAATGGCCGCTGCTGCAATATAAGGGCAGCCCAGCCAAGTACTTCATGACGCTTCTACGCTCGATAGGAACCACGGAGGCACAATTTGGAATAACTTGCCAAATGTCTCGAGCTCGGGAAACAAAAGGGCAATGTTGGGAGCCTCTAAACAGTAAAAGCTCCACACCGTCGCGAGTGGAGCCAATTTTATGAACGTGGCCGAAGGAAGCGGTTAAACAGGCCTGGTTGCTTGGGCCCTAGCCCCAGAGGTCTTCTGTCCTACCAAACTTGAAGACCAGGGCCCTGTGGGAGAGGAGGGATTATGAGCAGAGGCCTCGGTTGAAGGACCAACGCCACTCACCCGAGGAAGATGAAGGAGTTCTGGAGGAAGATGGCGATGCCAGGCCACTGCACCTCTCTCCCTGCATGCACATTGGAAGCACGCTCGCAATGCTACGAAGACTGCCTCGTCGTCTCCGGCCATTACAGTTAATGTAATGGCCGGAGAACAAGAATGTAACGGCAGAAAACAAGTTTTTTTCTTTTTTTTTTCTCATGATGTTTAAAACATGAAACTGGGACAGGAGAAAGGTGACAGCGTCTCAAACTCGGCTGACAAAATTTATTTCATACGCGCTTTTATATCCACCTCCCAAGGTTGCCCATAACGTCCACAAGAATAAATAGAACAAAAATTGTTCTTAAAGTGAATCAATATCTAAGCCAGTTTATTCCGAACACAGCAAGGCACAAAACAATAGCAGGAGGCCCAGGAGTGAACTCGAGTTTGCATTCTCTTCTTTAAAGGAGCTCTGCAACAATTTTAATGTTGAAAGAATTGGCATCTTCTACTTTTGATATTGTTCATCTTCAGGGGTGGAACTCATGAAATGTACTTGGGAGCAGCCACGGGAGCAGCTGAAACAGCTGTTTTGGAGCAGGTTGGGAGCAGCTAAAACTACATTCTGGAGCAGGCTAGGAACAGCTCAGATCAGTTTGCATTGCACTTCAGCTTGTATCTTACACAAGCACGAAAGCAATCTCAATTGTGCTTAGCAGCAGAGATGATAATGAGCGGTTAGGGACCTAGGTAGAGGGGATAACAGAGTAATATATGCGAAAACTTGAATCTTTGTGAGCCTTAATGAGAATCAAACAGCAAGTACTCTATGTTTCTGAAAATAGCGTCCTTGATATTTTCTGAGTGGCCTTCAGACGCTGAAGATGCAAACCAGCTCTGCTTATCGCACAACCCACACATGCTCGACATAGTAATTATATGTGCGAACCACGTGACGTGCGTAAACAACGGACGTGCAGTTGCACGGAGGAACAGGGCAACAAATTTCGAGTTTATCCTATTGTGCAACTCGATATCGAAGCAGCAGACTACGATTAACGAAGTTATCGTATTTGAAGCGATAAGCAGGAGCAAGGTTAAAGTACTCCGAGCAGATAAGTAGAGCTGCTGACCGGCAAGGTTTCGGATCGGACCGCGTTTCAGTTCTATCAAATCACGATTTATCTTGCAAGAATGCGGTTCCAACTCCTAACGATGAAGCACTAAAAGGAATATTTTTGCTCATTTGCTTTCGACTGGATGACGTCCGGATCCCGGGCCGCAGAGCCTCATGCAATCTGACGCTTAACGACTCGACCTCATCCTCGGCCTACTTGCCCTACCGCTTATAGTTGAAGAGTAACAATCCAGTCGCAGATGGTGTAGCGGTTAGAATCCGAGTTTTTTCGCGCGCTTCCGACTAGGGATAGACAAGGGGAATAAACAGAACAAGGGATTGCAAGGCCGACCAGGCTAAACGCCCTCATTGTTGACAATCGAGTCGATAAAAACCGACTCCCAAGACAAAATAAAACGTTTTTTTGGCGCACGTTTTGCGATTTGGCGCATAATGGCGCGAGGTATTGGCTTTGGCGCAGTTTCTGCAACATGGCGCAGGATGGCGCAGACACATGCGTCTGGCGCAAAATGGCGCAGGCGTTCCACCCCTGATCTTGTCACAAAGGACAGAAAACACACTTCCTTCCTTCGTAATGTTGTGATTCCGCCGCGTAATCGCGAGGCAAAAATCAGAATATTCTCCGACCTGCAGCCGTGAGCGGCGGCCATGAGAAACACGCGGCATGACGTCAATGGAGGTCTTGTAGAAAGATGGCAAGTTGTGCAAATACCTGCTCGATTAAAGGTAACTTTTCCATAAATCTTGTCATTCCAACATAAATATAAATGCGTCAAAAACCAGGTATCATTGACAAAACTTTTATTATACGGAGTTTTAGTGGCGCCATCTATCCGAGGTCCACAAAACCGTCTGCTCTATCTGCTAACGCGAACAGCTGCCAGAAGCCGGAGGGGGACGGGGATGGCCGAACCCGAATGAGACTTTCCTCCTTTCACCATATTGTCCGTGCTGCGCCAGCACGTGGTTGTGAGCGGATGAGTTCTCGCTGCTCACTGATGGCTGTAGAGAGAGAGCTTCACCGGAACCCCGCGCGACCCCCATTGACGTCACAGCGCATGTGACCCGGAAGATGGTGAAGGAGTTGAGAGGTGCCAAAAGCCTCAATCTTTGTTCATTTTTAAAATAAAAACTAGGACGTGCAGGCAAAAGCATTTTTTTTCTCTACTTCAGAATGGTCAAGACATCAACTCCTAAATTATTTAAGCAAAGCATTGAAATTGTTGCACAGCTCCTTTAAGACGAGGAACCAGTTACGCTCTTCTTAGCCTCCAAGCTGGACACAAACCCAGTTGTCCTGCAGCCTGCGTGCAGCCTCATTATAATGAAATTGCTTTCTTTAAAATATTGCTTTTATCAAAGTGTCCCGACTGAAATGCACTCATTCTTAATTGCATTATTTGAAGTGTATCAGCGGCTGACCACGCTTATTACAAATACGGAGGTGCCGAAAGCACACAAGCCTACACGGAAGTGCACGGAGTTTCTCGCGTTCCCTCCCCTTTCTGCACCAAGGCGAACGGCCAAACTGGGGGAATGGAGTAAACAGGTGACTGAGAGCAGAGAGTGCAGAGCTGGCAGAGCACCACTTCCAATGTCAATGCGCCGACACGGACAGGGAGCAGCCTCAACGTTCCGACGCTACTCACGGCACCTGCAGCCGACACTGCCCGACTCCTATCGGAATCGGTTCAAAGGAGCGATGGAGTTCGGAGGAGGTCATCCCTTCGAAAGACCCCCGACGTGCGTGCCTGTGCAGGCAAGCCTGCGGCGTACTGGGCATATTACACTCACACGTGCATCGTATGGGATTGTTTACCGAAAATCGCTTAGATCTGTGAGGTTGAGCAAAGTGGCTGGCCCAAGTCCGAAATAGCCAAAGAATTCGACATTCCGTCACCGGCTGTTCGACACCATCCACCATTTTGTGGAACAGGCGAGGCATATTGCACAGGTTCGAGAAGTTTCCAATGCAGGAGAAAGTTCACCAACAACCCGAAGATGAAAGATCACCCACTGCTTTGCGCACGTCGGATTTTCTTTAGCGAGCATGCTTGCCAAGCCGGCGCACGATTCCCATAGCTGCAACTATCTCTACAGGAGTGTGTGGAAACATGTTGGCAAAGCCACCGAGAATAACTTTGATTCGGTTGCACTTGCCGATGCGGACATTACTGTTGCTGTTTGTGCTACGAATGCTGAGATTGTAGACTTTGCATGCGCCAGGGTAAACACGAAGCGATGTCGGAGAGGCACCTCAGGAAACGCCGACGACCGCAGAGGCGCGAAACATTCTACGGCTGCTTCGAAACAAAGTGGAGTGCAGCGGCGGTGACGGTGTTCTTTCGATGCCTAGAGCAGTTTGAGGAGAACTGATGCCTAATAAAATTATCAGCAAACTCCACTTAATTTTTTTTTACTCAGTAAAGATGTTGCGGGGTGTTCATAACCAAGGTTTGTTCAATTAAATATACGGTCAGAGTGTTCTGCAGTGTTCCCGCTCACCTACGAGGCTGCTGGCACAGTTTTTTTGGCTCTGTCACTTTTATTAAATTACCACTTCCATCGCTTTTTCTTTTTTGCTGTCCTGTTTACTTGGTTATAGCGAGGGATTACTGTATGCCTTTGCCGGGATATTTTACGATACATGCTAACAGCAAACGAACACTGAGGACCGAACAAGCCCCGCTATCACTGCTGAGTAGGCCAAGAACAAGTGCAAGTCATTAGAAAGAGCTTACAAGAACGCAAAAGCAAAAAACAACTTGAGTCACTCTTATTTCCAATACAAGGAGCCTTGACTTTGGTCACCAATTGTAAACACGCTGTTTCTGTGGTTTAGGGAGCTTCGTGGTATTCTTGAGAAGGAGCACCACGTTGCACCAATTGTATTGTTGGTGCCGAAAAGGGTGATTGAGAAGAATGCAGAGACAGAGTATAACATATTTTCTGGTGTATAAGACAAACCGCCAGAAATTGTGGAAAAAGAATGTGTCTTATGTATGAGACGCATCATTCTATAAGACCCCCCCCCCTTTTTGCAAGTTTCTAAGTAAAAATTAGTATATAAGACAAACCTGTGTATAAGACGCAACGACGAAAAGTTTGGAAAAAAAGTGTGTCTTATACACCAGAAAATACAGCAAGTACATGAAAGGCATAAACGTAACATGATAAAAAAAATTTAAAGACGTTTACAAATCTCTGTAATGCGAAATTAGAGTGCAGCTCCTGAGGGGGAGGAGGGGAGGGTATGCTCCCTGTCCGTACCCTCCCCTCCTCCTCTGTGCCACCTCCTCCCCGTTTCCTCCTCTCCCCATACCTCCCCTCCCCTCCTTTCCTCCTCCTCTTCCCTCCTCCGTTTTCTACGTAGGACATGTTCGCGAAAAAGCGGGGTGGCTGCCTTCACACTCCACGCATTTTGGGGCGTTCTCGCGGATATCCGCTACACAATCATTATTGCCATACTTGGCACACAGTTCATGTCCACGACAGTTTCGGGATCTATGTCCAAATTATTGACAGCGGAAGCAACACTGTGGGTTGGGTATGAAGGGACAAACCCGACAGTTCAAATATCCAGCTTTGAATGAGGCAGGAACGTTAGTATCAGACGTTTTGTGGGCTACTCTCATCCGTCTGGCCGAGTAGCGATGCGTCGGATGCCAACGACTGCATGGTTGCAGAGTCCCTCGAGAACTTCCTCCTCTGTACAGTCGAGAAGGTAATGACACCTCGGACAGTGTTCAATGTTTGGTGAGGACTAACGCTTACCACGTGGTCGACTAAACGAGTCAGGAGGGTTTTCTGTCTCAACTTCCTCGAGAAGGTCACCAGAAAGATTTTCTGCCTTATCTCCAATCCAAGGAATGGAGAAGCCTTAGACATGGGCAGTGCATCATCTTCTGCGTGGATTACAAGAAATCTAGGGAATGTTTCAGGCTCAAGAGCTTTTACTAAAGGGCAAACTCTTTTTGGGGGAGCAAACAAAAATTGAGCAACTGTAACAGAAAACAAAGGGATACCAAATATGACCTTGCTGGGTATGTCACACTACCAGTGTTACTTGGAAGCTATACCGAAGGTTGGCCCTTGCCGCCTAGGGTGAAAACGGAAGGAACAGATCCTAGAAGAGGAGACTGACTGTATCATCCATAGACGGGAGACCTTACCAAAACTCCCGTCTATGACAACCGGGGGCCCGAGTGGTGTATTGCCTCACCCGGGGGGCCCCCAGGGGTCCAACCATCCCCGGGCTCGGCTCAACCACCAGGATGCCCTTTTCCCCAGCCACACGTGGTGACGCCACTCCCCTACTAACGCCCCCTGCAAGGCAAAGGGTTTCACCCGTGCCATACTTACTGACGGGCACAATGTGCATAAGCTTTGGGTCGTCGAAAAAGTTTTCGACTCTCAGACGACCTGCAAGCGTCACAGCCCCGAATCAGTGCAATCCCTGTTTCGCAGCACGTTACGTTGTGGTTGCCCCGAGCACCCTTTCCACACCAAGCACACACGCGTGCCCCGGGTGCTCCAAAGAAAGCCAGCTCACTCGCGTCAGACAAGTAATGCACGAAAAGCTTCCTCGTGTCGCATAAAACCACTGAGCAAGGACGGCACCAATCTTTTAATTGCCATCCTTTTTTCTCACCGGATCGTTGAAGACGAGCAAACTTTTTAATATATTATCTGCAGATTACATATTGTTAGCCAAGATAACCATGCGATTCTTTTAAAGGGCAACTCTGCTCATTTCGGGATAATGAGTGATTTCGCATTAAAAGCCCTAATAACAGACACTACGTCATTTGCTTTGCAAAAAAATGAAAGCCGCTTACAACTCCCTGTAACGCCGAATTAGAGCGCAGCTCTTGAGGAGGAGGAGGGAAGGGCACTGGGGGGGGGGGGGGGTTAAACTAACCAGGGGGGGGTCACGTTACCTTGGGGGTCACGTGACCCCCAATGCCGATGATGTCATCACTGACGTCACTGATGACGTCATCAGTGACGATGACGATGCGGGTACCGATGACGTCATTAGTGACGTCACTGATGACTTCACCAGTGATGATGACGAAGACGATGCGAATGTCGGTGACGTCATCAGTGACGTCGCTGATGACGTCATCAGTGATGATGACGATGACGATGCGGATGCCGGTGACGACATCAGTGACGTCACTGATGACGTCATCAGTGATGATGACGATGACGATGTGGATGCCGGTGACGTCATCAGTGATGATGACGATGACGATGTGGATGCCGGTGACGTCATCAGTGATGATGACGATGACGATGTGGATGCCGGTGACGTCATCAGTGATGATGACGATGACGATGCGGATGCCGGTGACGTCATCAGTGATGATGACGATGACGATGTGGATGCCGGTGACGTCATCAGTGATGATGACGATGACGATGTGGATGCCGGTGACGTCATCAGTGATGATGACGATGACGATGCGGATGCCGGTGACGTCATCAGTGATGACGATGACGATGTGGATGCCGGTGACGTCATCAGTGATGATGACGATGACGATGTGGATGCCGGTGACGTCATCAGTGATGATGACGATGACGATGTGGATGCCGGTGACGTCATCAGTGATGATGACGATGACGATGTGGATGCCGGTGACGTCATCAGTGACGATGACGTCATCGGGGGGTCACGCGACATCGGCGGGGGTCACGTGACCTCGAGGAGGGGGCCACGTGACCCCCCACGAGGTCACGTGACCTTGGTGGGGGGCTCGCGCGGTGCATTATGGGACATTTCCCATGATGCACCGCGCGGTTACGCCGACGGCGACGGCGACGGCGACGCCGACGCCGACGGCGACGCCGCTCAAGCCGGAAACGGGCCCCTAAGAGCTGCGCTCTAAAAAATGGGACATATATTTTTAAATCTAATTCTAAACACGAGCGGAAATCAAAACCGAAACTTCGGCTCCGTCCAACAACGTTGGCCTCGGGCCGCCAAGAACATGGCTATCACGTGGTACGAGATGTCACGTGACCGTTTACGTAACGACGGGCGGGCGCGTACCAGGCGCAAATGTCGTCTGCACTGCACTCTTCACCATGTTTCGGTGTCTACGGCATTCGACGAAGACTGCACTACTGCGGCATTACTCTGCACACATCGTGTCCGAAATGTGGACGAAACTCCAAGAGACGATAATCACAAACAGCGAGACGAAGACGGCATCCCGTGAAGAAACGTCAGCAACGCCCCGTGAAGAGACGTTGCTGACGTCACCCGCTACGCTTGCCAAGAGAAGTAAAAACAAGCAAAACGGGGCAATGGTGATGACGTTTAGCTCAGTGTTGGCTTCGCTCACGTCGTAGCCTTGACTGCGCTGTTAGTTGCGCCTCAATTCGCCTCAAGTCAGCCCATTTCTCATTTCGGCAACTTGGCAATTTGCAAAGTTTGCCGGACCATTTAAGAAACATTGAGACAGAACTACGTTATAATATTTGGCGTGTGGCCTTCCTAAGTGATACTGAAGAGGACTGCATTGTTTTTTCAAAAACAAAAATGAAGCGGAGTTTCCCTTTAATTCATTTTCTAAGATTTACAGCCGCATCGCGGTCACCTGGCATCGGGCCATTAAAGGGGCCATACAACAATATTGGGTTGTTTCTCATTTCACGAAAGCTTACTGGCACTACTGTGGCCGAATTATACTCGCACGCAATGCCACTGACCAAAAGCTTCTTTGTAATTTCATGAATTAAAGCCAGTTTTTCTTTCTGTCGCTCCTTGGCAAAGCTCGATGTCGTAGGGACTGCAATGTTCAGCTAGTCACAAGGACAGTAACAATAGCCAAATGGGAACGGATGTGCCTGAACATTCTATTTGACCTCGTGACAATGCCTCGACGAGCACTTGGGTAGTGGCTCGTGTCAAATTTCCACGGTGACGGAAACGGCCCAACCCCAACTATGTCTGGAACTCGTCACGTTCACTGTGCTATGCCAACCCTGGCACGTGGCTATGATGAACATTGGTGGCATGCAATCGGCACTAGATCTCGTGGCGTCTAGCCACGAGGTCTAGTGCTGAATGTTCCGTTGAGAGTAAGCGCTCGTCCTGTTCCCCTTCCTTTTTGTCCTTGTCTTTGTTACCGCTTTTAAATTTTTACTCCTTCAAAGGTTATGAAAGTCAAGGAATTATTCTAAATGCTATTTAATAAAGTGTGAATTGTGGCACTACCCCTTTAAGCGGCACATTTATGTAGGAGATCATTTTCTCTCTGCGGATGTTTCTGCACCGCGTGGAAGTGACGATGACTCTGGCGACGAGGAACTCTCGCCGCCGTCGATTCTTGCGCCGAGTGCCGCTGATGCGGAAACTGCATTGGGCGTCGTAGAACGTTTTCTCTCGGGCGAAGAGAATGCCGAAGACGCCTTACGATGCATACGTAACTTGCAGAGCCGAGTGACGGTGGCGCGTTTGCGTCAGCAAAAACAATCTAAGATCGACCAGTTCTTCTCCTAAGTGAGTACTGAATAAAATAAACTCAGTTTTATATGTGCTTTTTTAATTCGAAGTTTGCTAAATTCGAAGCATTTTGATGTCCCTGTGAGCTTCGAATTACCGAGAGTCTACTGTATTAGGCATGAAATGTTTCCTTCTGCCCCGAATAAGCATCTTAAAAGTGAACATCTTGGCAGACATCTACTTGGTTAGGAATTATAATAGATGTATATATATATTTCTGTTCTATCAATTAAGCATTCCAAAAGCCTTTTTGTTTGACCACATTACTCGCAAAGGGCCTTTTCGTTATCCAGGTGCAGTTCATCGACACTTCCGAGGGGCTTCATGATGCTACCACTTTTTGCCCTGACCGATGCAGGGGAAAAAGGCCTGCATTGGCCAGAGCGATTGGCTGGCAATGTGAAACAAAGAAAAATAAAATATATAACACAATTTCTGCTACACCTTCTGTCAATCACTTCCGAGAAAAAGGAGCCGTTCAATTTCATTCAATGTGGCACTCAACCAAAGCTCACCCTGTGTGACGTAGTCGCCGAACAGAATCCAACAGGAGGCAATCAGTGATCCAAAGCCGAGGGCAAAGCCAATGAAAAGCCACATGCGGGCCCCTGCACAAAGTTCATGCACGAAGTCAAGGAGCAGATGTACTGGATCAGAGCTCTGGCTTCAAGGTCAAGCAGAAGGGGCACTGCAAAGGGCTTTTGTCCATTCAAAGGATTGTATTCATTCTACCTCAGAGGCCAATATTTCCGTTCCTGGCCTAGACCTGCCGCCAGCCATGGTACTCGTATATTATTTGCCATTGCACGCTGGTTAAGCCCTCTATAACGCCAAAATGTTGTTGGAAATGCATTTGTGCGTGCTTTTGTGAGCAAGGAATAACGGGCAAGTTACCTTCTAGAGGTCAGAAATAACTGACCATATTTTAGATCTCTAGAGCCCTGTCTGCACGTACAGAAATAGACCATTGGGGAATGTATGCAGTGCCCCCGCAGCCATCTAGATACATTATGATAATCTCAAGTATGGTGCACAAATAGAATGCTGGTTTAGTATTGGGTTATAACACAGCGAAGGCCAAACAACAAAACAAAACTTGTCAACATTCAGCGCTATCACACTCCAACGTCTCTTGCACGCAAGCCAGCGCTGCCTGTAGTCAGTTGTGCCACGGCGTGCACGTTACAAAACGCTCCCATCCACACCTGCTTCAACTATTCCAATGGTGGAGCAGAACTTTTCTGCCAAGCACCCTTTTTTGTTAATCTGTCTGACAAGCTCACACAGAATGTGTGCCGAGTGATCAGACCGGCGTTTTCGGCATGACCAAAGCCAGCTGGTGACAGACCCGTTTTGCGCCAATTGTTGGATGCTGCCAGACTGTCTGAAGTCGTTGTGCACGTTCCTGCCAGTGGCTCTTACGTCGGAGCATAACAGTGCCCTAAGAAAGAAGGAATCGTGTCGCCCTAGATGTAGGAAGCGTACAAGTCGGACCGAGCATACGCCAACATGGCCCAACAATTTCCTGCGCCGCACGGTGCAAAGTGGGGTCGCCGAGAGGCCTCGCAAGATTTTCTGCGAAGGTCTATGTGCTATCGGTTACTAAGACAGCGCGGTCGGCATGCTTGCCGTGGCGGCCATTAGGCTTTGCGCTGGGAACCACGAGGGACTCCAGAAAGACAAGGGTGCTTCTGCTCGCACCCTACATATTATCTAAGGCCAGGGGCGCCACTTGCTGCCCCGCAGGGGTGTGGAAACAACTACCACGAAAACACCGTGGAAGTGCCCACTTGGCACAAGTGCCCACTTTTAACATTTTTCAAACTTGAGAATTCTGAAAATTAACCATTAAGTGCCCTCCAAAGCACCTGCATCGGCCCAAAATATTCACAGAGTTGCAGCAGCCACGAGACCGCCAGCAGCGACGACGGGGATATTCGCTTTCTTGCGATGCAAAGGGAAAAACTACCTTCCTTATCTTGCATTAACCGAGTTGTTTTCTGGGTTTAGTTACGACGAATAGGTACTGGTGTACCGCGCCATTTATTGTGTAAAATATATATGCTTTCTATGATCCCGTTCACCCTGCCTTTGAAGCTCTGTAATGACCCCCATTTTTACAGCGCAGCTGTTAAGGGCTAGTTTCCCGAAGATCGTGTCCGGTACCAAACAAATGTCGACACAAATTCTGCTTGCCGCCGTTGCTCACAGATCGCGGCAACCTTTCCAGCCTCGGCAACCTGACAACTGGTTTTTGCCGTCGCTCATACATGGCAGCAACATTTCTTTGGAAGAAGAGCGGGAACGGAACAAGCGGCGATGTGGGCAGCAGCACTAATGGTTTTGCAACCGTTGCGAGGCCGATATCGTCTAAAGTTCGACTGCGTCGGGCGCTTCAGATTCCCTTGCAAAAGAAGAGCAGATTGCTCGCCTAAAAAGCCACCGCCGAGAGCAGAAGCTACAGCTCCGCTGCTCTTCCTTCTTCACCAGAGTGGAAAGGCTGGAAGTTGTTTGCTTTTTATTGATTTACTCGGACAAGCGCCTATGTCTAGATTAACTAAGTTTTCAGTATGGTGGGCGCTTCTTGGTATTTTACAGTGCATAGTCACTAGCGGCCTCTACGATTTGCATCTGGAATCAACGTAACCACATCCACATTCAACTCGCGCCTTGGGTCTTTTGCGAATGGGCTAATGAGAAACAGCTTAAAAGGAGAATGGGTTGGATGCAGAAATGTTAGACCGCCAAGATTCCTTTGCAAATGGGCTCACGAGAAAGAGGCTAAAATGAAACTCGGTTGAAAGCAAAATGTTGAAACGCCAAGGGTCTTCTGCGAATGGCTTCACGAGAAACAGGTTTAAATGAGAAAGGGCTGAAAGCAGAAATGTTAAAACGACAAAAATTTTTTGATAATAGGTTCAAAAGGAAACAGGCCAAAAAAAGAGAGTGTTGAAAGTAGAATTGTTAAAATACCAAGGGTCCTTTGCAAATGGCCTCACGAGAAACAGGTTCAAATAAGAGAGGGTCGAAAGCAGAAATGTTAAATGCAAAGTGTCTTTTGTGAATGGGTTCAAATGAGAAAGGGTTGAAAGGAAGAAAGTTAGAACACTAAGGGTCTTTACAAATAGCTTCAAATGAGAAAGCTTCAATTCAGAAAGGGTTCAAAGGAGAAAGGTTGAGATACTAAAGGTCTTTTGCAAATCAGTCTTAATGAGAAAGGGATTAAGGGAGAAAGGCTAGAATGCTAAGGGTATTCTGCAAATGGGTTCAAACGAGAAAGGCTTGAAAGGAGAAAGGTTAGAATAGCAAGGGTCTTTTGCAAATGGCTTCAAGGATCAAGTGAGAAAGGTTAAGAGGAGGAAGATTCAAATGCCAAGGGTCTTTGCAAAAGGGTTCAAATGAGGAAGGTTCAAATGAGGGAAAGTTCAAATAAGGAAAGGTTGAAAGGAGAAAGGTTAGAATGCCAAGTGTATTTTGTATACGGGTTGAATTGAGAAAGGTTCAAATGAGAAAGGGTTGAAAACGGTAAGGCTAAAATTCTAAAGGTCTTTTGTAAATAAGCTAAAAGAAGAAAGGGTTACTTCGAGACAGACTCGCTCCGACACCACTTTGTGGCAATTGGGCCCGCTGCAGGAAAAGGTTGGCATCCCCTGCCCTAAAACATTGCAAGGAATGAAGCAATGGCTGAAGAAATAACTCGGCAAGGGCATTGTTGTTCAAGGAGAACCAGGATTATGAGAAGAAACCACGCCCACTGCAGTGTACCATGTTGTGGGTTGACTTACGGATCAATTGAAGGAAACGATTGAGAGTGATTTTACTCTATGGTCGGTGGCAGGGTAAGAGTTGAGGGCGAGGGGAAGGAAGGCTGGGGAGGAGGAAGCAGGCGGAATGCTAAGGCAGCAGGCATGTTTCCTTTTCCACAGCCTTCCTTTCCTTCGCCCTCAACTCTTTACCTGTCACCGACTATCGCTATCGACGAGAGCATGCAACACATATCAATAGCGTTGGCACAGAGCATCATGAACCGGAACTGCCTCCCATGTCTGACACAGCCAACAGTTGTGTCTTTCGTTGCTTGGCCAGAAGATAATCAGAGACTGGAGAAACCTTCCTGTCGACACAAGATTTCACGGTGGTACAGAGGGCCGTCGGTGCCACATACCTCTCTGACCAATGCAGCCCGTGGTGTACGAGTCTCCACGAATCTGACCATTGGACACCGCGTTGATCCTGGAACAGAGCAAGATTGCGCACAATGAACCACTGGCAGACACGGCGCACTCAACTGCATACGGCTGGCCTCCTTAGGCAGTGCACGACTGTTTTTCCAACCAGTTTGTGACCTTCCTCCAAACTTTCTTCTTGATCGGCGTTAGACCGAGTTGTCCTTGCCTGCCGGAGCAAATTAACCTGGTAACAAATAACAACTCGTTTTCAAGGTTATACAACTTCATTTTCTCAGTATGTGCCTACCAAATGCTTCCTGTCATTGCCATGAAAGCACATCTGCCTGTATTACGTTTGGAGCATCGGCGAAAGTTCTGGACTAAAAAAATAAAATTCCACTGTGTTACGTGCTCTCACCTGTGCACTCCAGATGCACTGCAAGGCACAGTGTTCATACTGTAGCCTGTATTGCCACTTTGAAAAACAAATAACAACCGTCCCTCGCACAATCGATCCGCTCAAGCGTCATTGTGAATTTCATGCACCAGAATTGCTGCTGACATCCCTTTCCCCCTTTCACCGCTTCCAAGGCCCAAGGCCTGACCGTAGCCCATTTTCTGTTCTGCCTCCCGCGAGCCAAACTAAATCAGATTATCGCTCACCGTGAGATCATTCTCCTTTTAAACACCTATGTCCACTGATGAATCACAAACATGTAACAACTTGTTTGACAGGAAAAAGGTCTATTTGAGGAGAAAGAGAAATGAGTGTGTAGAAACAAAAGCACACAAACAAAAGCACACTTAATGCATGTAAGGGTTGACATTCTTGTATTTTTGTTTATTATAGTGGTTCAAGTTTATTCTCATCACAAGATAGTCAACTGAAAATATTCTCTTATGTCTCTTTTAACATAAAATGAAGTGTCACAGCGAAAATGTTTCGCAAATCAAGCACAATTGCTCTTGTGGTCCCCTAAATTTTATTAATTCCAAAACCTCGATTCGGCACTTGAAGAGAAACATTCAACCGAGAAAGAGATTTATTTAGAACTTCCGAGATCTTGGTGCAACCAGTTGTAGTTGGGGCACTCTAGAACCATTGCATATGGTCCCATACGGAGCAGAGCAATGCAAACTGGAGAGCAAACACCTCCATCTTTGCTCGTTGTTGTCGTGATTGTACGGTTTGTATGTTTAAGGTGTTAATAAAGGTACAGAAGACACAGGATGCATTAAGGAATATTTCAATATTGCAATATAAATCAGAAAAATAAATATTTCCACCGCAGCTATTTTAAGGAATGTCATTCTAAGAGTTGTTTTTCTCACGGTTTTGTCCTGGTCACATTAAGGGGTGGCATTGTCAGTCTTGTATGACGCTTGACTGGACTGCCGAAGGAGGATGGTGGAGGGCTCTTCGTTGATGGGGATAGTTGTTGGGATCCTGGAACGTCTGGAGCTGTCGATGAATCCGATCGCTGGAGTTGTCCTCCGCGCCTCACGTAGTCCAGTCAGCCTCAGGCAGGTCAAGCCTTAAACACAAGAGGTGACGGGGAGAGAGTTGGGCCTCTGACGTCACCTCACGTCAACGGAGGTCCGCCCAGCTCCTCACAGCTTGGCCTTCCAAGTCGTCCTTGATTTTCTTCTTCATGGCTGCAGGTCTTGCAGTCTTTTGCCATCATTATCTCATTCATAGCTTGACCTATCCTGGTCCTCCTGAATTTCACATCTCACTCACTCTTCAATGGAACCTCTGAGCCTTGAGCAAGCTCATTTAATGCACAAACAGCGGTTTTAGATTCATCTTTGGTTGATTCCAACAACCCGACCATTCCTTGCAGTTCCCTGCACTTTTTCTCAAGCTTTGCAACTTCTGCGACTTCCTCTACTACCATTTCAACTTTTAGTGGTTTTTCCTCTGTCCAAGCTTTAAGAGGCCGCTTGCGCTTGGTTCTGTACCACCCTTGGACTTCCTGCAGCTCATCTTTGGCAAACTGCTGGCAAACTGCCAGCCGTTCCTGAAGACTTGCACCCTGAAGTCCTAAGTAATTTTCCTAAGGCAATTACCTTTCCTAGCTCCATGTTCACACACCCTCACCTTGAAATTTGGCTCTCTGGATATTAAAGAGAGTGTCCTGTTGCGGACGCCAGAGTTGTGAAGATGATGATGGTAAATTATGAGGACATGGAAGTGTATGTGAAACAAGAGGAACATGACTCGTAAGAAGAGCAATATACATATACTTACAAAGTCCTTTTGGGCGTAGCCATGTCCACGCTTTTAGCGGTGTCCAGCCGGTAGAGACGGCGAACTCGACTTGCCCGGGTGTCGTCCCCACAGGCCTTTACACCTGTCCGGAATTGTGCCTCAGCAGCCCAATCCACCGGTGTCCTTCCATCCTTCTTGTGCCATCACTCCCGCGTCTTCTTTTCCGTTCATTTTAAGTCCACCAAGTTCTGCTTCCCCACTTCGCGGTCACTTCTCAAAAGTCCACATCATCACACTCGTAAATTCACGAATAATGAAAGACCACACTGACTCGCCAATTTACAGTATATAAGCAATGATTCTTAAGAAATTATGCGCGCCTAATAAAAATACTTTTGTTAGTTTTTGAACCTGGTGCAAGCTCAGAAGTCTCCTTTGAATTAAGAATGACTTGAGGGACGTCAAGCCCCTACTTGTTCAGTCAACCAAAAAATGCTCCAGACCTCCAGCCACTCCCTCCAAGCAGAATGTCGTCAAGTGCCTGAATGTTCCAGAGAACCTTTCATGTAATCTCTAGCAAAGTTTATTGGTGACCGACTCAAAAAATTCGGGTATTTGCTCGCTTGTTTCGAAACCAAAAGATTTTGTTCTATATATAACAGCCGCAAGTTAGTCAGCTTCAGTCAGCGACTTGTCTCTTAGCTGTAGATGAGAACCAATGCAGCACCACCGCTAGCCTTTAAGGTACACACGCCGGTGTGACGCAGATCAAAATGGGCAGAAGTGGGTTCTGCAGTGCAAACTTTCACTTCACATGCTCCAAGCTGTGTCGACTGATCTCCTTGCCTCCAAAGGATTCTTTCTATCCCCCAAGGTTACTTAAAAACACTTAACTTTTTTTTTTCTTTATTTTATGCACCTGGATATATTATAATTGTCACAAAATAAATGTTAAAAAAAAAAAAAAGATATATCGCTACGAGATCCATTTTAAATATCGTAATGTGATTCTCTTTCGGGATGACGTGCCAAAACAAAAGCATGTCTCAGAATCGTATAAAATAAGGCTCGGGATGTAAATATTGCACTAAAATGTTTTCTTTCATGAAAAGATTATTTTGTGGCATTTGTGACATATCTACCTACTGCGGCAGTCTGCTAATAAAACGCATCTGATTGGCCCAACAGCCGACAGATAACGACATGTAAGATCATAGGGGGCCACGATGGGCGCTTCCCTCGACCTAGGCAATAGCAGACGTTTCTGAGTTCGAAGCATGCACTCTTTTTCTGTACGAACTGTCGGTACATGATTATTTTATTCTACCAATAAAACATTAGAAAATGGAGATAAAACAAGAACCGTCGGCGCATGATTATTTTATTCTACCAATAAAACATTACAAAATGAATATAAAACAAGAACAACCAAACAAAAATGTTGCCTTACTTTTTTTTTTCCGAAAATTATTTTCATGGTACGTTTGCTTTGCACTCTCTGGTTGTTACTGCGCTTCTGCTCTGCAACTTCGTCCGAGCTGTATTGGGGTGCGAGCCATCTTCAAGGTAGCTTCCAACGAGCGAGAGAAGGTTGCTCTCATACGGGGACTGCCAGAGGACGAAAAAGGTCTTCTTGGGCAAAGTTTCGGCAGCAACCTCTGGGCTCCCCTACTATTCTACGCTGGCTGAGGCGCCCCAACAAGAAGGGAAACATCCAAAACAAGCTACCAACAAAAGTGGTGTCATCGGCGAAGCTGACGCTCAATTGATTGATTGATTGATTATTAGGTGTTTAATGGCGCAAAAGCAACATAGGCCATGCTGCGCCAAAGGAATAGTTAAAAGACTCTATAGTAAAAGGAAGGAATTACTATGCAGATGATCTATAACTGGTGCAGGTAGCCAGTTTTTTTAAGAAAATCTAAAATATGACCAAAAGGAACTAAAGGTTGATCTCCCAGTAAAAAGGCTGGATGAAATGGAAGGTATCCAGAAAGTGCAGGGAAACTTGTTCGATGTTCTTGATCAAAGAATTTGCAGTGCCATAGAATATGCAGCATTGTTAGCAATTCACCGCAATGCTCACAGACTGGGGCGTCCTCACCACAAAGAAGGTGTCGATGGGTGACACGTGAATGTCCAATTCTCAAACGACACATTAAAACTTCATGGTGACGGTCTCTATGGTGCGAACTCTCCCATACCTCCAAACGTGGTTTGATGACATGTAGCTTATTATTTATTTCTTTGTCCCAGTCTTGCTGCCAGGCATTATGAATTGCTTTTTTAAGAACTGGTTTAAAATCTTCTTGAGGCAGCTGAACGGGTGTTTCCAGAGCATCCTTAACAGACGCTGCCAGCCTATCCGCCTTCTCATTACCTGAAATTCCCACAAGGAATTTCAGGTAACCCAGCACAGCTTGATATTGTATCCCATTTGGGAAGCCAGGTTTAACTCTACCCGTACTTGTTGCACGAGCCGATTCTAAGAATCATTGAGGGAACAGAGAGAGAGGATAGCACTCTGGGAGTCCACAAACAAGATAGCTTTCCTGATGTTGTTGCCTAATATATATTCGATGACCATGAGCACACCATAAAGTTCTGCAGTAAAAATGCTGGCAAGAGAGTGAAGCCGTCGAGCTTTTACAAAGTGTTCTGAATATACAGCCGAACCGACAAAGTGTGGAGTTTTTGCACCATCAGTGAAGAATTGTGCATGGTCCTTATACTTAGCTTGCAAGGTCATAAACTCTTGCTGAAGGACTAGTGGTGCAACAGTTCGCTTATTGTATTTTGCTAGTGACCAGTCACAGGTATAGTGCACCGCCTTCCAAGGAGCAATGCTTCGA